TTCTACAGATGTACCTGCATGTATGTGCTCAAGAAAAGAACTATGGTCTAATGGAAACGTTTAATATTGTTTTCAATAGTGAGGTGAGGGACAGCAGCTATTGTGCAGTCCAGTGTCTACCATCCTGAAGGAAAAATGTGTCTGTGCCAACCTCCTCCATTATAATGTGTTAACTGCCAGCACAGCTTACACAGGGCGAAACAGGGGAAATGTATCCTTTTCATTGGCCCTAATTTATTTAAATACCTCTACATACCCCTTTTTGGCCATTAGGGAGCCCTTGCTGGTCATATGAGTGGGAGGTGGGTGAAGCTTACAGGTCTATTCACAAAAGGGTGAAGAGTTTGGAGAACATAGCTGAACTAAAAAGTGAGCAGAATTGGAGGCTATTTTGGCCTAGATTGTATAATTCTCCTGCCTTCTACAAACTCTTCACGCTCCTGTGAATAGACTTGTTAGCGTTGTCCCAAAGTCCGGAAAGTTGAGTCTTTACTAGCAGAGTGAAACCAACATCAGACATGAGCACTGAAGAAGATGATCTGGCTAGTGAAGATAATGAAAGAGTTCTAAGGCAGGACTATAGGTTCCCTTTTAAAAAAAAATGGATACAGGTTCACTTAAAGCTTGAGACCAGTGATAACTCTTTTGTTTGTAAATTCACACAGTCTTACCATTAATTGTACAGGACAAGCTTTGGCCTACCACCTTTAAAGCTGAACTCCAGGCAGATGTTAAAAGACACTGACGAATGCAGTCATGTATTAAATAAAATAATCTTGTCATTCTAATATATAATTTAGATGAAAACATTCCTGTAAAAGAAGTCAGTAAATACTCACCTTTCCTGCTGCCCCTGCCACTAAACTGATTACCGATTAGGAAATCTTCTGGTGAAGTCCACACTGGAACCGACACTTCTGGAAGTATCGATCTTCTGGGTTCCCCGCAGCTTACTGATTCCTCCTGCTGACCTCCACGTGACAACTGTTTCCTGTAATGGGTGCAGGTCAATAAGAGCTGCAGTTGAAACCCAAGAGATTCACATTACAAGAAGTGTCAGTCAGGGCCGGTGCAAGGATTTTTGCCTACAAAGGGCGAAAGAGCATGTTTGCGCCCCCCCACACTTTTTTTATTTTTCTACATTTTTTTACTTTTTAAAATTTTTATTTATCTGATTCTCTTTCACTTTTTTATTTGTTATAATTTTTTTCTAATTATTTGTTAATTTCTTTATTTTTTAATCTTACTAGCTTTTTCTTTTTATAATTTTAATTATAATTTTTTACTTATTTTTTCATACATGTTTATTTATTTTATAATTTTTTATCAATTTTTATTAATTTTTTTTCACTTAACCTTATAGCTATCACACAGGAGATAGCTAACAAGCCCCTGTGTGATAGCATTTGGAGGTGACAGGTTCTCTTTATTGAACCTGTCACCTCCACTACAGGAGTTCTAGCACAGTACTGTGCTAGAACTCCTGTGACAGCTGAGAGGAAGGGCTGCCG